GTAAAAAAAAAGTCTTTTACAAAGTAGTATTAAAGTAAATAGTTTACATATAAATGTAATAATGCATTAAATTTTCAGGGCAGCTGGCAATCTCTATATATTTTCTTTTCTCAAAGGAAGCATTTGTGAATGTATTTTGATATTTTGAGAATCAGTTTTTCATCTTTGTTATTTAGAAGAGTTTCTAATTTCTGTCTATTGGTATTGTTAGGGTGTATTTTTAATTCTTTGAATACATGTATATCGTTTCTTTCATTTATGTATAATTTACAGTTTAGAAGAAAGTGTATTTCATCCTCTACTTCATTAGTTTTACAAATAGGACATTTTCGGTTTGATACATGTATATCTATGTTATTGTGTCTTCCTGTTTCTATCTGTAAAACGTGCGTACTGATTCTTAATTTTGTCATTGCATATACAGTGAACATTAGAGACACTTGTAGACGAAACATGCTTTTGAGTGACAGTAGTGTCATTGTAGTGCTTTTATCATGTGACATGCATTTGTGTTCCAAGCTTATCAGGGGCGGATACAGGATTTTTTTATGATTACATTTGAAGTTTTGATAATTTTAATGGGTATACATATTTTACTGCATACATGTACACTTACAAAAGTACCATTGTCATTTTTTGGAGAGTAGAGGACTATTTATACAGGGGGAGGCTCCAGTGAGAAATTGTTAAAATCGCCCATATCAAAATCCTGTATTGAAACAGAACATATTTTGTATTCACTAAAAAACAACGCTGTTACGTCTCTATACTTACAACGAAATTGAAACAAAAGAAATAAGTCCAATCCAAACAACCTGCCTCCTTGAAAATCAAGTCTTATCGCCCTTGCGTTTCTGAGCGAAAAAATGCGTCGACGCCAAATCATTAATTCAGTCCAGCGGTTAGATAGGTTATTTATAATAGACACTCAGGGAACCAAAATTGACAATGTAAATCACTCCGGCGACGAAAAATCAGCGATAATAGCCAAGGAGGTGAGGGACTGAATTTCAAAAACATATTATATATATATATATATATATATATATATATATATATATATATATATATATATATATATATATATATATATAGGGTAAATAAATAATAAATAATAAATTTTTCAACGTGGTGGTGTCCGGACCTCAAGAACCCCCCCCCCCCCCAACCCCTAGATCTGCCACTGCTTATGTTTTATATCGTAGACTTTAATGTAAACGCCACGGCTATTCTAGTGTATTGAATTTATATGTCATTTATATGTTTTTTTGGTATGATGTATGGTGTTTTATAAACTGTTAGAGGCCCAAGTCAGGTAATTTGACGGTATTACACATTTATTCTTGAGTTCGTTGTCTGTCATGCTGGATAGGGGGATGAAAGCTGAAGCCAGTATTTACAAATGCAATCATTAACTTAGGTGCGGATTTCTGACGCTCACTGTACCACGGACATTTGAAGAGTTTGGGCGACAAATGCAGTACAGAAACACGTGACTGTGGGAAAAGCACACTTCCGAGCCTTGGGTTTAGATGACATGTGTTCCCTACAGCCCAGAACACACACAAACTGACTATGATTACATACCTCTTTGAGTTTGTTCACATTTCCAGTAACAAAAATTAATTGTTTTTGTATACTCGATGACATTGCGAGAATTGAAATTGTCCGCCTCCAGTACGTCAGATCACCGTCTCTCAACACGGTGGTCAAATGTAAGAATTGAACAATTACTTCCGGCGTTGCATGACCTAACGTCAAAGGTCGTATCGTTGACTACAAAGGAGTACATTGACGCTGAGGCATTAGAAATACTTCTATTGACGATATGGTGTCCGAAACTGTGCGTCTCTGACGACACAACGCAAGGGTGCATCTTTATTTGACACAGCACTTGTCAGCAGCAAGGTCACTAAAAAAATAAGGGTAACAAAACAAAAAGTGAAATTCTCTGTTTATACATATTCTGATTAAAATAAGATCCAAGTTGATGTTTTAGATATTTTTTTTAGGGAAGTGGGACAACATTTTGGACGGCACACAAATTGTATTTGTTTAAAGGGCGTTAGTCGCCGTGCCGCGTCCTGTTCGGTATGAGACTCTTAGAGACGTATACAACGCGTGTAAAATACATTGTTTATTCAAACACGCGCTGCGCGACGACCACCGCGCTTTAATCAATTTGTCAAAAAAGGGTGCTGTGCAGTACTAGTAAAGGAACTGAAACAGATTGGCCCGTCTATTGGCCCACACAGAGTTTACCATTCTGTACCATGTTTGCTTCAGTGGTGGCGGCACGGAGACATCGAAAAAATTTTTTACGGCGTCTCCA